CACCTGGAATCGAACTCATGACCCTTTGGTGCGTGGGAGGACACTCTAACTACTGATCCACACCAACCAGGGCCTGGAGGTACAATGAGTTCCCTCAGGGGGAGTGCTGCTCATCCAGAAGCCGGGCTCATGGCTGGTGAGTGCAGCAGAGGTGGCAGGAACCTCCGTGGCAGCACTGAGGAGCAGCGAGCTGAGTGGTAGGGAGCAGCAAGCAGGCGGGCAGTAACTCCCGAGGGGTCCCAGACTGCGAGAGGGCACAGGCCGGGCTGAGAAATCCCCCCCCCACAGTGCACAAATTTTTGTGCACCGGGCCTCTAGTATAAAATAATTAAAATAAAGTTTATTTTAAAGCTGATCAAATCCATTCATTTAATAATCGTACCCTGAGGCACTACTTTGTATTAAGCACTGTCTTGGTGATGGGAATCAAAGTCCCTATCTCTTAGAATGCAAATTCTAGTGAGACACAAAAAGACCATAAAAAATAGAAATATATGCTAGATAATAAGATCAATGGAAGAACATCTGGAGAATAGGGGCTGCAACATTAGCAATCATAGTCTGTTTCCTACATCACTGAATCAAGTTCAAGACTGCATCACTAGGAGAACCAAGATGGTGGTGTAGGTAAACGCCAGTATGTGCCACCTCCCACAACCACATCAAAAGTACAACTAAAGTACAGAACCACCATCATTCAGAACGGCCTGAAAGCTGGCTGAATGGAAGTCCTACAAATAGAGAAGTAAAGTAGAAAGTACACTGAGACAGGAGGGGTGGAGGCACGGAAGGGAGGGAGATCATCTCTGTGGAGGATGCCCAGGAGGAGTAAGGGGTCCCAGACCCACACCATCCCCCCAGCCCAGGGTTCCAGAGCTGGGAAGAGAAGTCTCTGAAACTTCAGGCTGTAAAAACCAGTGGGGATTGTGGCTGAGTGACTTGGAGGCTGCTGGAGACCAGGAGTTCCTTTTAAAGGGCCGGCACACAAACTTACTCAGACTCGACCCCTCTGAGCTCCAGCACCAGACAGCTTTGGGGAACCCAGACACATACACAGAGGAACTGGATTATCTGGCTTCAAAGCAAGAACTTGGAAGTGGCTTTCTCCCAGACAGGGGTGCTCCCGGGGATCATTGTTCCTGTGCTCGGAGCTCCCCTGTTGCAGAGCTGACTGGCAGGGGCCATATCTGAGTCTCCATCAACCTGGCTCATACTCTTTGCCCTGGTGATTCCCTGAGACCCCGAGCCATCCACTTTGCAGCCCTACCCAAGCTGTTTGCAGCAGTTTTTCCATATGAATGGCCTATGCTGGCTCAGGCTTCAGACTCTAAAATCTTTAATACAAACTACAGCTGGTGTCAGCATGCCCCAAACCTATCAATAAAAGCCCCAAAACTGGTACTAGCACCAGCCCACCTTGCTTCACAGTTGGGCTTCGCCTGGGCACATCCAAGCCTGGGCGGCACATCCAAGCCCAATACAAGTAGTAGCCATCTGCAGATCTCTCTGTAGCTCCTGCCAGGTGGCCCCAAGCAGTGGCTGACTTTGCACCTCCCTGGAGGCCCTAGAGCTAGTGCACCTGGTGGACAACTTCAGACCATACCAGATTACAACTCTACACATCCACAGTGACACACTCAAGGGGCAGCTCAGTGAGCACCAAAGCCCCATTGAAGCAAGTCCTGCTCCATAGCAGTTTTTCCTGATAGCAGCTCTCCCACTGTAGTCGCAGATGGTCCTCAAAGCCAATTGGCCTAGAGGTCAATTCGTCCCACTGACACCAATAGCCATCAAGGCTCAACTACAAGACTATGCACACAGGGGCACACCTACAGTGCCCAGCTCAGGTGCCTGGGGAGGCTGAGCCACTAGGCCCTACAGGACACCTATTACACAAGGCCACTCTACCAATTTCAGAAGACACAGCAGCTCTACTTAATACATAGAAACAAGCAAAGGGAATCCACCAAAATGCAGAGACAAAGAAACACGTCATAAATGAAAGAAATGGAAGAAAGCAAACTACTGGATACAGAGTTCAACACCATGGTTATAACATAAGGTTACTCAAGGATCCTCATGAGAGCTTCAAGGGACTTACTGAGACTTTCAAGGTTCTTAGTGAGAATTTCAAAGACATGAAAAAGAACCAGTCAGATATTAAGCATACAATAACTGAAATAGAGAAGAATTTACAGGGATTCAACAGTAGAGTAGAGGATTCTGAGAATGAAGTCAACGACTTGGAATATGAGGAAGCAAAAAACACCCAATCAGAACAGCAAAAAGAAAGAAGGATCCAAAAATATGAAGATAGGAGAGATGAAGATAGTGTATGGAGCCTCTGGGACAACTTCAAGCAACCAACATTTGCATTATTGGGTGCTAGAAGGAGAAGAGAGAGAGAGCAAGATACTGAAAACCTATTTGAAGAAATAATGACAGAAAACTTCCCTTACTTGGTAAAAGAAATAGACTTACAAGTTCAGGAAGCACAGAGAGGCCCACACCAAGACACATCATAATTAAAATGCCAAGGGTTAAAAACAAAGAAAGAATCTTAAAAGCAACAAGAGAAAAGCAGTTAGTTACCTACATATGACTGTCAGTTGATTTCTCAACAGAAACTCTGCAAGCCAGAAGGGAATGGCAAGAAATATTCAACGTGATGAATACCAAGGACCTACAACCAAGATTACTCTACCCAGAAAAGCTATCATTTGGAATGGAAGGTCAAATAAGAGACAAGAAAAAGCTGAAGGAGTTCATCACCACCAAACCAGCATTACATGAAATGTTGAAGGGTATTCTTTAAGAAGAGGAAGAGGAAAAGAAGAAGAAAAAGGTAAAACACTTGAAAAATAAAATGGCAATACATATCTGTCAACAACTGAATCTATTAATCAAAATAATCTAACAAGAAATCTAATGAACAAAATAAACTGGTGAATAAAATAGAATCAGAGGCATGGAAACATGGAAAATACTGACGAATCTGAGGGAAGAGGGGAGGGAGGGCAGGAAGAGAAAAACCAAAGATCTTACCTATGGACACAGACAATAGGGTGGTAAAGGTCTGGGTGGGGCAGGGTAGGAACTGGGTGGAGGGGGGAAAGAGGGACATCTGTAATACTCTCAACAATACAGGTTTTTAATTTTTTTTTTAAAGAGTATATCACTAGTTAAGTGGGGAAAATTGAAATGCTGATGTGATATACATCACTAAAGTTTAAATTAAATGAAGTTTAGTGTTAATGTGCTAATTTTTTTACTTGTCACTACTTTATCACATCTTTAGCAGTAGTAAAATTCTAAGTGAATTTGTGAAACTTCTGTGAAAGAGATTTTCAGGTACAAAAGAGTTGAGAAGTGCTGTGTTATATTATTAAACTGACAGTGAGCCTTATGTGGCACTCACCGAAGAATCAGGCAAGATTTGTCCCTCAGGAAAATATTTGGCAAAGCCTGGAAATATTTTTTGGTTATCATAACTAGGGAGGGTCCTCCTGGCATCTACTGGGTAGAGGTCAGGAAAGCTGGTCAACTCCATACAATTGATAGGACAACCCTCCACAAAAAAGAACTATGTGACCAGAAATGTCAACAGTGCTAGGGGGTTAAAAAACTGCTCTACTATGATGATGTGGTGAGTCTGCATTTAGAGCCATGGATCAGAGTAAAGAGCGTGTGTGGATGGAGGATAAAAGTGAGGCCACAGGGGGTTTACTTTCGCCTTGAGGGAGAGGATTGCAGAAGGAAAAGCATGAAGATGATGGAACAGCACAGTAAAGTAATGGGCACAATCATGTACAGCCTAAACAGGGGTGAAAAGGATCCTAATGGGCTGTATGGCCACTTTCTATTTCTTTACACAGCATCTGACTCAACATAAACTAATGTGGTCTTCAAAGAAATGTGTAAAATTCTTCAATTTTCATATATGATCTTTGCTTAAAGCAAGGCCCACTCTCCCATCCCCCACTGCATAACTGTACAGGCTCCCACCTTGGCCGGTTTGGTTCATTGGTTAGAGCGTCACCACAGACCAAAGGGTCGCGGGTTCAATCTCAGATCAAGGGCAGGTACCTGGGTTGCAGGTTGGATCCGCCCTGCAGTAGGCAATCAATGGATGTGTCTCTCTCACATCAATGTTTCTCTTTCTCTCAATCTTTCTCTCTCCTCCCTCCCTCCCTTCCACTCTCTAAAATCAATGGAAAAAATATCCTCTGGTGAGGATTAACAACAACAAAAATCATCACCTTCTCTGCAAATGACTCTGGGAAGGCGGTGGGTCCAGAGGAAAGAGCATTAACTCGGATTCTTCCCCAGATTTCTGGTCACCTACGGAGAACCCTCCTCCAACTAGCCCTACGAAGTACCCGCTGTTCACTTCCTTCCCGTCTTCCTTACGGGATTTACCCACCGCCTAAAGCTGTACTCACGTATTTTAAACTAAGATGTAGGTACAACTTGTGTCCTGTGAGATATGATCATGAACGTCCAGTCCTGTCCTGTCCTCTGCACTCCGTGTAACCACGGAGTCTACCGACCTCCCGTCATCGCTGCGCAACTTCTCCACGCCTCCCGGCCCCTCCCGTGACCCTCTGGCCCGCACAACCCTCTACGGCACAGACTTCGCAGGTCGCCGTCCACTAACTGCCCAGCCGCCAAACCGCACCCGGAAACCGGGAGAAGAACAGCCGACCCCACAGGCACCCGAGTCCACTCACCGCCACGCGCGCACAGTAACCCAGAGGCGGTGGGGGGAGGAGTGGGCGGGGCCCGCCGAGCGGCGCTCGCGCCTGCGCACACCCCCTGGTCCAACGGAGCGCGTCAGTTCCGGCGCTAGCAGTGCGCAGGTGGCAATCCAATGAAAACTTAAGGTTTTTCAAGTGAAATACAGGGAACCTATTTATTCTTGGGGAGATGTACATTTCACAAACATCTATCAGGGAGGGCTTCGTTGGTCTGTCTACTCAATCTTCTAATAGAAAAATCAAGACGTGAGAGGCCTTATAATGTTGATAGGATTAGAAAAACTTTTTTAGAGTCTCCACTGTAATCAATTTCCTTCCCAAACTCAACGTGGTTACTGGGTCCAGCCATGCGCATTTTCCACTGGGGGTGACAGCGAAAGCAACGTCCAGTCAGTGACCAAACGAGATAGAAGCTGTTTTCACGCTGAAATAAGGCTAGCTACTGATTTGGCGAGTAATCTATCAGGCAGTAACATTTCTCTATGGAAATAATTCCATATGTGGGAGACTTGCCGTTAACTTCCCAGAACCTTCCTTATTGAGGGCATTCCTTCAGTATAAAAACCTCCAGCAAAGAACTTGTTAAACCTGGCAGCATCAAATCATAAGTGATATATGTACTTATTTTCCATTCAAGAAGGCATTCAACCTGTATTATGTTCCTACCTACTTTTCCTTCATTTTTTTTTAACCAACTTTATTATCGTGCTGTTTTATATATTCTGCAGAATCACCTTAAGTCGTTTCTGGCATAAGTTGAGGATATAAATAAAAGACTCAGCTGTCAAATAATAATAGTATATAAAACCGGTTTACAACTTGGGAAGTACCATAATTTCAATTATAAATACCATTTCCTGGTCTATGGCAACCCATGTTTTACTTTTTTTTTTTCCATGCTTTACTTTTTAAAAAATATATATTTTTATTGACTTCAGAGAGGAAGGGAGAGGGATAGGTAGAAACATCAATGATGAGAGAATCATTGATCGCTGCCTCCTGCACACCTCCTACTGGGCATCGAGTCCACAACCCAGGCATGTGCCCTTGGCCAGAATCAAACCTGGGACCCTTCAGTCCGAAGGCCGACGCTCTATCCACTGAGCCAAACCAGCTAGGGCTCCATGCTCTACTTTTGACTTCGATGGCTTTTAAGTGATGACAAGTCAATTACACCAAGTATTTCAAAATCAGGTGTAACTTAGCAAAAGAGCAGGAAAGAAAATACATAGAACAAACCAAAAATCAATAACATGAACCAAGAAACAAGAACCAACTTTATGGCAGTATATATTTTTTAACAGAGGTGTAGCGTTCCATACATTGGAGACTGTCTTGGCCTATAATTTAAAAACCATGTTAAAGCAATTTTTGGTTTGAAATAGATTTTAAACTTTTAAGTTTCAATTGTTTTCATAGCATATGAGATGCAATAGTTACCTTCATGTAGTGTGTATTATGATGCTTTTTATCATTAAAGTGACCAGGAAGTCAAGAAGTTCAATTATACCTCCACCACCAGTGCTGATTACTTAGCCAGCCTGTTCACAGTAACACATGAAGATGAATTTTCCTGGTGAAACATTTGCACTGTAATTTAATGGTTCTTGCAAATCATAAAAAATTTAAAATATCAAAGGCAATTTGATTCTCATTGAAGTAAAGGGAAAATCACTTAAGTTAAACTGGACTTGAAAAGATGCTTTCAAATCTGTTTTGATTCACGAGTTATTCTGTTTGTGTATTTATGAGTGATTTCTGTCCATCATGCTACTCTTCAGAAAAGGTGCATAAAAGAAATGAAGGTTACTCTGTAAAGATCTAAGATGAAGCCAGACTCAATTTTCATTTTTAAAAAACAGAAACCCACACCTGAAACCTCTATGTTCAAGTTGACCAATGTCACTCCAATCAATTTAATTTTAAAAAGTACTAATTACCTATAATTACAAGGACAGATTCATGTGTTTTTCTTCCATTCTTCAAGTGCTTTGTCACCAAATTACTCAAAATTAACCTAAGTTGCAAAGGGTGTTCCCATATTCTAGACCCATTGATGTTTGGAGAAGACATAAACTGAGGAAATATGATTGAGACTTTCTAGGGCAGTGTAGTAAAGCTCTTAACTTCACACAAGATATAAACTTGTTTTACTTCTCCAATTTATTTGACTTATAGTGATACATGAAACTGCCTTTGGAAATCACTGTTAGGGTTTTTGTAGTTGTTGTAGGATTGATATGAGCGTATTCAGCAGAAATACCCTTAAGTAGATCAATTTTCTTGTTTAAAAAAGAAAATACAGTGAACTCTCTCAAAATACCACCATAGTGGCTGTGGCAGGGGCTATACAGTCATATTGTATGTGAAGACATCACAGTATTTAAAAATTAATGACTATCAGTTATTAAACTGTGTAAAGACACACTTATCTAATGGAACAAACTGTGTTCTTAGAAAGAATTTTTAAATATAACAAGATTTATTGAGTATCTACTATTATGTTTTATCAGCGTGTTTAAAATTTTTCCTTTGGGAGAATAACTTACATGAAAAGAATTCAATAGGGAAATGATTTATGTGCTAGAAGTTAGACAGTACATTGTCATTAAGGCTGTATGGAATGTTCCAGCAGGTTTTCTCGTAAATTTCAAATACGCCCTTTACTTCCACTTAGTTTTAAAAGAAAGTAAAACTGAACAAACATTTGAGATTACAAAGAATTTACATTGACCCAATCTAAGAACCAATATTTACAAAATAAACAAATGATGCATAATCAACACACCAAGGCATCATTTGTAAGCCAGTCAATATAAACCAACTGTATTTTTAGAGAGCACAATTACTTTAAAGATGTCTTTTAAAAGACAATACCAAATTTTTATATTTGGGACCTTTAAAATCATCTATGGCTCTCAAATACCAGGTGACTATTAGCCTGTGTTCCAGGTCCTGCCCTTAATAATTAAAGAGGGAAAACGAAAATTCAATACAACTCTGCTTAGTCCTCTTAAACCTAAATTTTCTATATTCACTCTTGGAGTAAAATCAAATCTCAATACAACCTAAGAAAGAGCATTATGAATCAATTAATATTCAAAGCAAAATCAAGTTTAAAATAAATATATTTTCAAAACACATTTTCTTTTTTAAAAAATTAACTTTTCACCTTATTTGGCTCAGTGGTTAGAGTATCAGCCCACAGACTTGAATGAAGGGTCTTGGGTTTGGTTCCTGGTCATAGGACAAGTACCTTGGTTGCAGGTTCGATCCCTGCCCTACTCAGAGTGCTTATGGTAGACAACCAATCAATGTCTATGTCTCTCTCTCTCTCTCTCTCTCTCTCACACACACACACACACACATCAATGTTTCTCTCCCTCTCCTCCCTCCCCCCCTCTTTCCTTCTACCTCCCTTCACTCTGTCTGAAAGTCAATAGAAAAAAATATCCTGGGGTGCGGATTTTTTTTTTTTAAATTAACTTTTCAGTGCATATATTTACAAGATTTAAGATTAGGCAAAGAGTGAAAGTCTGTCTGACACAGCAGAATGGCAATTTTCCACTTTCCCTGAAAGGCCATAAAAAGAATGACCCAAACCACTAAAAATATTTACTGCAAATACGCCCCAACTCCAATGACTTAATTGATAACTGACATTGTTTCTAAGACTAAGCTGAAATAAAAATAAATACATTGAATATTATAGAATGTAAACAAAACGTTTTCTTTCCGAATATTCTATCAGGACTGGGTGTTCTCACAGAAGGTAATACAAATCTTATCTATACAGATATATCATTTTTTTTATTTTAAAATATGACTGTATAATGTCCCCAGTGTCAGTCATTCTATGATGGTAAATGAAAGCACCATTTCAATCAGTTTCATAAAAGTCTAAATACCCACGAACAAATCACACACAGTCAAAACAAAAATGTAATAAAAATATTTAGTTAAAAGACACATAACTCCCATTTATAGATTTAAAAATACAAATAAAATTTTATCAATTTGATATTCAGCCTTTAACTGGCTCAATACATAGCCCTGATTTATTTCCTAAAATCGTATTATAGCATCTTTTGAAAAAATGAAATGCAACTTTATACCTTATACCTTCATTAGTAATGTTAATAGAAGCAAATATTTAAGCCATATACTTGTCCCTGGGTCTCTCGAAAAAAACTGAAAAGTCTTAGCATAAGTTTAAATGTTTAATATTTATAAATTTAAAAAATTTTACACATGCTGAATGGTAGCAATGCTAACACTTTGTGACGATTAAACCACACACTCACTGCATGGAGACTCTTTGTTCAGAGAGCCGAATCGCAACACCAATATTTGCAATCTGTCATAATTTTATGTGGTAGATGACACACCATGAAGCCTAGGCTCAGAACACTCTTGAGGTCAGGTCCATGTTAGATACATAGTACAGGTGCAGTATTTAATTTCAGGCTAATAAAGTTAGCTAATAGTACATACCTGACAGCTCCTAACAGCTGAGACCTAAGCGTATAGACTGAAAATGAGAAAACCTCTCCACTGCTAGGAAGGCCTAGGAATAGGTGAAGAGCAAACCCCAGGAGGTGAGGCGGACAAACACGTGTGCATGTAGCTCAGTCTTCAGACTTAGATAGGGAGCTAAAGGTCAGAAACAGATCACTCCACCAGTCTTCTAGAGCAGAATGGATGCTCATTATTAACGTTGTGTCTTTACCTGAACCAAATATATTCTTTGGCTAAATATGTCATGAGTCTCCATTATAATCGATCAGAACTACATGTAAATTAAACTGTTTAAAGTTCAACTTGAATCACAGCAGTTCATATCAATTTGAGCTCAGAAAATAAACCTAATTTGGACTTTTTTTATTTTAGAAAATCAGTGTTTTCAGAACATAGTTATTACCAAGTCAGAGGATA